TTGTTCGATTTTCCGACAATACTTTCTCAAGTGCTTTCTGAGAAAAAAAAAACGCAAAAAAGATGTCTGGCACGTCCCAATGTGGATAATGGAATTCGAAAGAAAGATATTTGGAATCACCTTATCGAGATCGCTTTGTAGCTTGCTCCCAATATCCATCACTACAGAATCTTTGACGCTATCTAACAACGCGTTCTAAAGGAATCTTTTTCATATAAATACTTCAAAAAGCTAAATCGTGCCTGGATAGACTCCTTCAGTTCAGCTTGTTTCTGCGTGAGCTCCGCATATTTGTCTCTAATTTCTTGTTCACGAGCATCCAGATCATCTTTTCGAGCCTGAAACTACTTTCATCATTCTTCCATAAAAGCAATTTTAATCACAGTTTACCATTATATCACTTTTTATCTGATTCAGTCTGTTTTCAAACTCTGCACGTCTTTGTTGCTGCTGCTGCTTACGTGCTGCCTCTTCCTGATTCATTATTGCTCGGATTTCGTCCATTGTTGACCTCATACTTAGCAGCATCTTAATTCTCCATATTGATATTCTAAGCCAACCTGGATATTAAAGTCAATGAACATTGTCACCTCTTTTCTACGCTCTTTTTTAACATCCGCAGAATCATTCAGTCTTGATTGGATCTCATCAAGTTTCACTTTTGCTTCATCCCACGCTCGCCGAAGTATCTACAATTACATCTCTTCGATATGTACGTATGATGCGACTATGTAAAGAAATGATCTTGCATCTTGTTGTCTCTGCCTTTGTGCATCTCTTTCCTCCTTCTTTTGTTGGTAAGCCGTTCTTAGTTGGTCTAGCAGTTGACGGATATTCTAAACGAGGCAACACCTCTTAAGATTTGCAAAATTGGAGGCGTGAAGGAGAAAATGCATATTTTCATATGTGTTCGGGATTTTCACAATAAAAATTTTCCCGTCTATCACTAACGTTTCTAATAAAAGCCGTTTGTAATAACACTTCCTATCAACTGCACCATCAACGTCTGATTTTCTCGATGCTATAGTACTAGCAATATAATACATGTTTCATGTATAAAAAATTTTGAAGACACGTCTTAGAATAGCCTTTTTACATCAGAAATTAAACAAGTGGAATTACCTGCTTCTGCTGGTCCATCTCTCTCTCCCTTTCCTCCTGCAATAATGCTTTTGTGCTGTTGATTCCATTCATGAGAGTTTCCCACTCCATAGTAGCTTGCTGCTTTTGTGCAAGTTCCTCGGCCTTGTATCCCTTTAAAGGTTTTTTAAAGCACTTTTCCTGTTATTTTCCTCATTTGACCAATTTCTACAAGTTTCTTATTATGACTAATGGCATGCTTATTTTATGAGTGCACAGTGAGCATACCTCTTCTATGTCTCTTAACTTATCAACGCGTTGCCCAAGGACATCCTTGATCCTCTGCACTGAATTATTAAGGCTCTTCGCAAATTCATCTCGCAACTGTTTTTCCTTTTGTCTGAAACCTTATAAAACCTTTTGATTCAAATCTTTTGCATATTTCAGAAAAATGGGGCTCTGAAAACAATGAGACTGCCCATTAACGAGCAGAATATACTGGGGTACGCATACT